ATTAAATGTGAACATCTAATTGGAAAAACAAGTCAATTAAGTGTAGTTGCATACATTCTCTACAGGTGTACAAATAATGGTTTTACAATCATATTTTCCTATTTTCTTTAAAAACTCTTTTGTTGCTGTGACCCACAGACAACCAAATGGGGCAGTTAGAAAAGGAACAGAGAAACTAGTTATATAGGAAGAGGGTGGGGCACACCTTTGGAGTCAGGCCTCTGACAGATGGTAAAATAATGGTGTAATTGGGATCTGAGAAGTTTTATCTTCTACCCCGAGCATCACACAGCAGGATGCAGAAAGTTTAGGATGGGGCATAGAATTTAGATCCCAATCATGCAACAGGGCTATATGTGGGGCTGTCCAGGCCAGGGCCAACAACAAGTTGATTGTCAGCCCTAGCCCTAGACAGCTACAGGGCTGGTTCCAGACCTGAGAATAGGGCCTACAGCAGATACTATTAGACATATTAAATGGAACTTTAAAAGCAAAGGTATTTTAACCTGCTGGGTGCAAAGGTTGCAAGGTTTCTGGCAGGAGCTTGGAGCCCCTTGGCCGTAACTAGTGCCATTTTGTATGGAGTAACTTTGTGGCTGGTTTGCCATTTTATGGAGCCATACATTAGCAACATGCCTCCTATTCAGCCATGTACGGCACAATTAACATATCAACCACGCCATATAATGTAACATGGCAGGGACCTTACATTTCTATTTATGTTAGACCCTACTCCCTATGAATAATTAAGTAAAAAAATCTTAAGGAAAAAAGTTTATTTGTAATATGCATTTTAAAAAATGTTCACCACCTTCCTTCATATTTAAAATTCTCTTGTTAGATCTGTATTCTTTAAAGAATGCAAAGGAGTAGAGTTTCTAGGGAAAGAAAGGACAGAAACTAAAGATATGATCAGCGATTTGCACTGAAGGGAGTCATCAACATTATACATTTGGAAACATCCATATGAATTAATTTTAATTTCTAAGTAGTCAACTTCCTTACCTGCACGTTTTCAGAAAAAAAATAATTTTTATTTCAAGGAAAAGAACCATTACATTTGGGAAAGATCACTTGCGTTCTTCGTACATAACAGAAATTGAATAATTCCAGTGAAAAAGCTAAACTCAAACTGAACAGCAGTCCTTACCAATGTCTCCACACAGCTGAGGCACTATTATTCATATAGAATACAACATTTAGCTAGCTAGCCAGCCAGCCGATAGGCACATGCTATGCAAAAGCCACTTTTTATCCCCATCAGGAACAAACTTAGTACAAAACAGGGAATACAGGAAATTACAGAAACTCAAACTGACTGAACTCCCAACTGGGGCTTTCAGAGAACCAGAGGTCAAATTCTGCAATCAGAAAGTACGTTTCAAAAAGTAAATGCACGTCCTCTTCTTTCTTGGATGGATTAATCCCAGGAAAAAAGTAGAACAATACATTTAAAGGGCATCTGGCAACTCCCATTAGGAAAAAAAGTAGGTATAAGTTCTTAATTTCATAGATATCATACCATTACATAAGATAAAGTCAGTCAGAACCTACAACAGCCACTCTCATGGTTGGAGCATGTACTAAGGTAACTAGAACAAATGTTGACTGGGTTTTTTCAGTATATATCTAGGTGAGGGTGTGTCTGTGCATGAGCGCTCACACGCACGCACAGTATCATTTTCTAAAAATTTAGTTTAAACATGGAAAAGTGTTATCACAAAAAATATAGTTAATGTAATCTAAAGCATCCACTTCTACTACTATCAGAGACAGGATACTGGACTAGATGGACCATTGGTCTGACCCTGAAAGCGACTTCTTGTTCTCATGTTTTTCTTGTTACAAATATACTTCACAGTTCACAATATCATTTTACTTCTAACATTTGATAAATGGATATAAAAGGAAAGGGATGGAGAAGTGGTTAGTACATTTCTATTTATTTTTCATTGCCACATAATTAAGTGGCCTTCAGAGAAGTTTTGTTATTTTGATGCCTTCTGATTTATCAATCATTATTTTCCTCAACTGAGACACCATATTTTTTTTCATGCAACATCTTTTTCCAAAAATAAAAAAAAAGTTGCTCAAAATTACAGCATGCATTATATGCAAAAATATGGTAAGAACAGATCTCCACTTACGGAGCAAGAGTGAAAATAAAATCTCCACAGATTTACAGGGAGAAAGACCAGAAGCTCAGCTCCCTAGAATCTACTACTCAGTTTACTGAAAAAAAAGATCTTTTAAACTTCATTCTGCCTTTCAACAAGGTTTGTATATTCTGGGTTTCATAGATTTCATAGACATTAGGGGCTGGAAGAGACCTCATGAGATCAGAGTTCAGCCCCCTGCCAGAGGCAGGAAGTCTGCAAGGATCAAGTGAACCCAGCAAGATAAACATCCAAATACCATTTAAATGAATCCAGAGTAGGTGCTTGCACCACCTCTGGGGGGAGTCTGTTCCAGATCTGGGCCATGGACTGTAAAGAAGTTTTTCCTTATCTTGAGTCTGAATTGGCCTTCTAGAAGTTTGTGGCCATTAGACCTAATTTTCCCTTGGGGAGTCCTGGTAAACAACTGTTCTTCCAGATCCTGATGCACCTACCTTACATACTTATAGGCTTCCACCAAGTTCCCCCTGAGCCTTCTCTTCACCAAGCTAAAGAGTTCCATGTTTCTCAGCCTCTCCTCATAAGGCTTGCTCTCTTGACGTTTGTTCATATGGGTGGCTCTCCTCTGGACTCTCTTGAGCTTTTTCACATCCCTCCTGAAGTGGGGGGCCCAAAACTGGACGCAGTACTCCAGCTGCAGCCTCACTAAGGCCAAGTGAAGTGGGAGGATGACGTCCCTGATTTTGCTCGAGATGCATCAGTGGAAGCATGTCAGAGTTTGGTTTGCTCTGCTGGCCATGGCATCGCATTGATGGCTCATGGTCATCTTGTGGTCAATCAAGACCCCTCCCCCCCCAAGTCTCTTTCAGCCGTGGTACTAGCGAGCATAGCACTGTCAATCCTAAGTATGATGCTGGTTTTTGATCCCAAGGTGGAGTACCCTGCATTTCTCTACTGTTGAATGCCATCAGGTTTTGGTCTGCCCACTTTGCAAGTGTGTTCAGGTTGGCCTGTATCCCCAGCCTGTCCTCCAGCGGGACTGCCTTCCCCCATAGTTTAGTGTCATCTGAGAACTTTGCCAGTCTGCATCTGATACGCAAATCCAGATCATTTATGAAGATACTGAAGAGTACTGGCCCGAGCACTGAGCCCTGGGAAACTCTAATGATAACCTTGAGCCATGTCAATATGTTCCCATCAACTAGTACCCTTTGGGCCTGACCCCGGAGCCAGTTCCCCAGCCATCGGACTGTGACATGGTCAAGGCCACAGTTCCCCAGCTTGGTCATGAGATTGTATATATACACACAAGAAAATATGGTACCTGATTTAATATTTTTAAGAGGGGATTTTCTTTTTTTTTAGTTTGAAATTTCACCACAAATACGACATTGCCCCATAAAATAAAAACAAAGTGCTCTAGTTAAAACTATCATTCAAAATTAAATTTTGATTTTTTTAAAACTGTGCCTCTCAAATGTAAATTGCGTCCATGTAATTCTGCTCAACTCTATATTTAGAAAAGCAGCTATTTTTAAAATAGGGCTACAGTGACTGAAGTTAAAAAGAAAGATCTCATTTAAATTTGTTATCCACACTAAACTGTGCTGCTTTTCTGTTCAGCTATTACATTGTTATTTACATAGTCAGTTTACCCCCCAAACCAAACTTCTTCAATTTGTCTACATGGCATATCCTTACATCTAGATATAAATTTCTCAGTGGCAGGGAATGTCTCAGCTTGTACAATGTCCAGTTAAATGAGATCTTCTACTGCATCCTATAAAGAACAAAATGTTTTCCTCTGGTATGACATAACAGACTATAAAAGTAAGTTCAGTTTGCAGTTCGTGTAAAAAGGTACTGCTTAACCACTTTTCTCTGTATACATAATGAACTTCTGGTTGCCATGCTCATGTTCTTTGAAAGTTATCAATGTTATGGTTTATATAATCATTACGAATTACCAGACTTACCTGCTCTCAGTTACCGGTTTCCCAAACTAATGTTTTTCTAAGGCATTTCTCACATAACATTTTATTAAGGACTCACTTCTTAAACTTCAATTGAGCTGTAACTACCTTATTTTCCTGGCATACTTCATGGCCAGCAAATAAGACATGCACCTTGTATGGCAACACAAAATGGGGGGCAGGAGTGGGAAGATTTTTCCAGCGTCATAGCTGAATTGTGACTGCATGGCTGAATCTTGACTAATGCTGCTCAGGCAAAAGGTAATTTTAAACCTCTCACTAAAAGCTACTGAAATTCAGCATAAACTATGAAAAGCTTAAAACCAGCTGTGACAGGCATTCTCTCCCTCCCTCAAGCTGGGAAAGACAGCTCCAATAGCCATAACAACTCTATGTAGCCACTGTGTGCTTCAACTGTGGTGCAGAAAGTCAGTTTCCTTATTTAAAACATAACCCCCAAAGTTAAAGGGCTGATTTTTCGAAGAAAGATGCATGTGTGGAGTAAATATACTGCGTCTACCCCGCATATCAAGGACCTTGAATTAATAGGCAAATGAAATGCAAATTACATAAAAAACAAGCTAGACTCTTTTCTCAAAAGTGGAGTTACAAACTAAGTTGTGTATACATTTGGTTTTAAATCTACTTCCTTTGAAGTTATTTTCAGAGCATTCAGGAGCGCAAACATTACACATACCTTAACATTTTATTTATCTGGAGTCCACTTATGTAAAAATATTACTATGTAGTAGTCTTATTATCAACTTGAAACTATACAAACCAAAAAACACTATTAAGCTGTATATGGACATGTGCCATGCATTGCAGTTTTCATAAAGAAAGCAAATAAGTTTTGAATTATCTTACTTTTGATCATTAAGAAAATATGGCAACTTAATTCTTACAGTACCTCAGATTTACTTTCATCTCAAGTTGTTGTATTTTTTCCAAAAGCTCTTTTTCAACAGCTTCCCTCTGCAATTCAAACTCTTTATGGGCAATTTGCACTGCATCCTCTTTTTCACAACTGAGCTTTTGAATAAGCAATTGTCTATCATCCTCCTGGTTAGATATTAACAGTACTTTCTCCTCCTCAAGTTTATGGATAACAGCCTCATATTTTTCCTGTTGTTCACACAGAGCCATTTTTTTCTCCTTTTCCTTTTCTAGGGCATTCTCTTCAGTTTCTAACTTACTTTGCAGTTCTATTATTTGTTCTTTGAGTCTCTTTTTTTCTTCAAAAGCTTCCTGATGTAAAGAGGTTATTTTGCTTAATTCAGTTCTAAGCAAATTTGATTCTTCTTCATGCCTGTTCACTAATTCTGAAATGCAGTGATCTTTCTCAATTGTCATTAAAGTTCTTAGCTCTGCTAAGCCCACTTGATATTCGTCATTATTTATTTGTAACTTGAGATTTAATGCATCTATCTCTTTTCTTAAACTTTCAGTTTCTTTATCAATAAGTGACTTGATGGTCTCCTGTTGCTGGATTCTGCTGTCTTCTAACATCATCTTCATTTCATCTGTTTCTGCTTCCTTCAATGCAAGTTCAACTTCTAATTTACATCTCAAATCAGACAGATCAGAAACTTTGAGTTTTAACTCTTCTACCTGTTTTTCCTTCTCTTGCACAACTGCAGCATGAGATTCCTGCATTTGTTCAAGTCTGTGCAAGTTTTCTTTTTTTAACTCATCTAAACAATCTTTGTGCTCAGATACTATCCTTTCAAATTCTTGGGTATGCCTGATCTGTAAATTGTTTTCCAATTCTTTTAGGTGACTTTGTTCAAGACTCTGAAACTCTGCCTTCAAAACTTGTATTTTTTCATCATTTTCAAGATGAAGCCTTTTCATATCTTCTAGTACGATCTCATGAGAATGTCTGAGTTCCTTAAGTTCATAATTTTGATTCTTCATCTGACATTCTAATTCAAGCATCTTCTGATCTTTCTCATTTTGTAGGTGAACAACAGATTCTTTTTCATTCTTCACCACTGCAAATTCATGATCTTTATTTTGCAGAACTTCTTCAAGGCCTACTAAGTCTTCTTTTAATTTTTTAATCTTTTTTTCGTTTTCCTCACCATCTTCCAGTAATTTATTAACTTTAGTTTCATATTCACTTTTCAGAGACTGCAATTCTTTTTGATGTTTCTCAGTTAGTGTTTTTTCAAGTGAAAGTTTTACTTTTTCAATAACATTTCTTATTTCTACTGAAGTACATTTTAAAGAATGGGAAAAGTCACATTGTTCTTTTTGTACAAGTACTCTAAAGTGGCAAAGGTCTTCTTTTATGTTCTTTAAGTTTGTTTGAGATTCCTGGGCAATAACTCTACATTTGTCCATACAAATATTTAGAGAAGCATTTTCCACTAAGCCTCCTTTTGCACAAATATTTGTGTCTTGCATGCGTCTGCTGTCTATTGCATTGATAACCGAAGAATAGAGGGACTCTACCATCATTTCTGGACTTTGTGGATCACTTATTATATTGGGGGATACTGGATTTTCCTCTATTACAAATTCATTCACTGCTGACATAAAATCCGATTCTGGACTTTCTGCTAGTGAATCCAAATCTAAAGACCCTTGCTTAAGGGCCTGTTCTAAGCTTGGATGGCCAATCGTTTCAAAATCAAATGTATGAGCATCAATACTATCTGGAGACAATTCCTCTAATGGAGCAGGGGGACACACAGGAGTACACAGAGGACCCTGAAGACTGAGTGATGGAGGTGTTCTAGAAGAGGTAGCAGTTGCGATTCCTGTTGTACTTTCCATCCTTGGCGTGGTGGCAGATTGTGGTGATGTCTGACTGTTGGAGGCCTGCAAGCATAAAAAGTAAACAAAAGCTTTACAAACTACATGATAAACGTATTTAATTTTTTAGACTTGGTGGTATCCTGGTTAATAAAGCAGCTTGAGAATGTTAAAAAATGCCAAAGATTTTTATTTAAAAAAATAAAAATAAAAATAACCATCTGCAATCAATGGATTAAGTATAAGAAAAAAAAAAACCTCAAACCAATGTCAGATTTTCCAGGTCCTTTCCTGAAATCTCTAGTTAGTCAAACCTGTGTGTATTATCAAACATCTGTATGTACCGAAATGTTGTAAACAACAATTAAATGCATTTTAATTAAAAGGACTGAAACAATTTAATCTCATGCAACAAGATTGAAGCAAAGGGTTGTCTAAAAATGCTCGTAGCGAGAAAACAGAAAGGATCTTTGCTATGAACAATAATGACTTTTGTTACTGTTAGAAAAACAACTAACAAGAGGATGCCCAATTTATTTTCCCTAAAAGTATCGTCACCCGATAAAAAATGACAATATTCAACTAAATTCCGATTTATAATATTCTGATGCGAGCAGTAGGATGGAAAAAAGCAAAGCTAAAAACAAAACAAACAAAATCAACACCCCCCATCCCAGATTAATCTATGCAATCCCTTTCTTTCTTTCAAAAACTTATCATATATAATACAATCTAATAATACACTTCTGTATTGTGGTACTCAGAGGCCTTCAAGTACTTCCACCAAAATAAAATACCTGTTTATTGTACACAAAATGTAAATAAAACCTCCTTATGCAGCAAAACATTTCTTTAATATGGTCACCAATGGTAAATAATGAAATTTCTCCTGTTTCACAGAAGCAAAAGATATCAAAAAGGCCAACAGAAGAGGGGGAAAACTAAACAAAGACTGAAGGGGACATGAGAATGGAAAGCATGGTATATCTTTCTGAAACTGACATCTACCACACTTGGGCTGCCCTTTTCCTCCTATAAATAACAGAGGGAATTTAAAAGTTCATTATGGAATTCCAGAATTTGGTCAGTCCCATTTGGTTTCTATATTGAAATACATCACTCCAAATCAACCAGCTTTTCTTCCTACCAGAATTGTACAAAGCAGATTTAAACTCTGCTCTTCCAACTGCATAGAAATATATCTTCTTTCTAAATAGTTTAGATTGGGGAATTTCAAGAATCTTTGATCAGCACTCCATTGGAACCAGACTGGTGAAGAGGAAATACCTTCCAATGCAAGAATTAAATCTGAACAAATCTCCATTATGTGGCAGGATAAAGTTTCCAGGCTCTGTGGCACACTCCCTGATACAGCAAGCGGTTATGGGCTAGGACAAAAAGGCCAGGGACAGAAACTGCACGTATACTGGGATAAGTGATCAGAAACCAGTTCAAATCTGTAACACAACAGAAGTTCAGTGCGTATAAATTTCTTTCAAAATGGCTGAAAGCAGTTTAAGATAAACCTGGATGGATACAGTATCAAATTTAACTGATTTAGGTTAAATTGGTTTATTGAACTTGTGTCCCAGATCCCCTCCACATTCAAGTTAACTCAGTCAATCCCCCAGCATCCCAGGATGCTTTGCATTTCCTCTGCAAACCCCTACCCCTCCACAGGAGAGATAGGCAAGTGGTGGGGGAAAAATATTATTGTGGGGGCTGGGCCCCACCTGACCCCTGCCCCTCCCTCCCAGAGGGCTGTTGTGGGCCCGGCACATGTTGGTGCTGCATATGGTGGTGGAGGGGCAGTAGCATGCTAAGAGCAGCCAGGTGCTGTGGGATGGTGTTACTGTAGTGCTGCTGTTATCTCCAGGTTCTGCAAAAAGTTTGAGGAGGCTAAGACCCATTAGCCTTGGCCTTCTGCTGCCTATGCTAGCACCCCTGGCTTCTGGCCTGAGCCACTGCAGGCATGTGGCTGCATTTCCAAAATCAAATGCAAATATCTGTTCACTTACTTATCATCAGTTCAATCTATGCAGTTTAGACTAACCTGCAAAGATTTAATTATTCAGCCTTGGGCTTTCTCACTGTCTGTACTTAGTCAAACTGAGCAGAGTTGTACTAGAGGGTACTTTCTGCTCCCCTTGTAACAGAAAACTAAATATTTAAACTCTTATTTCACTGATCTGAACCTAGTTTAGCTGTTTCAGTGCCGTTTCCTGAATCTACAATATAAAACCTCATCCACACTAGTTGGTGATACTGTATTTACTCAAATACAAGATGATGCCCTGCTATAGTTAGATTCTATACATGGAAAATTTATAAAGTGTTATAATTTTTCAGGTATAGAATCTAATTATTGGAAATCTGCCTTGAATTTTTCCCCTTCTCTTTGTTACTGCACAAAAAATAAGTCTGGGTTCAGGTAGCCCCTTTGCCCTCTGTGCCCCCAACTTCTTTCTACTGCAGTCCTTCCTTACTTTACTGTCAGATCCTAATCTCTCTGAGCACATGGAAGTGAGAAACATTTGAAAAAGCTTACATAGATAAAAAATACCTGTAGTAACCTGCATATAACAAAATTACTATAGGTACCCACAGGCTTAGTTCACTCAGCATAGATGCAATTTACCTCTTCTGAAATTGCTATAAGTTTGAGCTCAGATACTCCAAAAACATACTTTGAAGCACATACTTGCATACATTACACCCTATGCAAGTATTAGTCCAAAATAAAAAGGCTCATAAGTTACCATGTAGTTCACTGGATGGGGCTCCAGCAAAGACAACAATGTTTCAAGTCATGGTAAGCCCACAGCCCAGCACTGCTCAGTATGTGTGTGTACTCCAGATATCCCCCACAAAGGATCCATGTGCTAATTAGCCCCCACACATGACTGGAACAAGGTACGTGCCACAAGTCCTGAGATCTTTCAAAAATTACATGCAGATAAGGCACACGGCAACCTGGCCCAGTTCCAGGTCAAAAAGGGCAGGGCCACATTAAACATATGCAACAGGCTGAGGAGAGACGAAGCAACAGGGGGATTGTAGGTAAGCTGTTTGGAGCCTCAGTAATGTTTGTCAGACATTTAAGGCTGGTTAAAAACAGGACTCTTTGGAAACGGGAAAGAAAGAAGCAACTAAACTGTGGGAGTGAAGAAATCTAAATGTTTTCAATGCAGTGGATCAGCGTGACTTAAAGTCAGCACTGAGGGGGACTCAGTGTAGTGGGAATTACCGCATATCTTATTCAGATGGGTTACAGTCACCATCAGTATGTTTGCTCCACATAGGCCTTGCGTTTTACAGTTACACTTAATGTTGGCTGCATGTAATCAACTTGCCAGTTGGTTTCCATTGCTGAACATATTGCTTTTATCAGCAGTTTAATGATAGACAATTTATTTAGTGAGGTTTCCTTGTATGCCAGTATAAAAGATAAGAGGTTCCTTCCACCCATATTGTTGTGGGGGGGAGGGGGGAAGAAACCTTGTCTATATTTCAGTAAATACGGTAATTGGCAAGCTTCTCTTTTGCTCCTAACAAAGGTCTGGATTTCAAACCTAGAGATGGCATCTAGGTCAAGACTGAGCCAGGCCAGCAGTATCCATGACTAGACTCCTGTACTTTGAAAACTGTTAACAGCAAAATATATTCACTTCTGACTATTTGACTGTATTATCTGGGGTCTCCCTACTACTGTCACTCCAGAGGTTCCTCTTCATGTTACTAGTTTACTAACATATACCTGAAAGAAATTCTCAGGAAATACCCCTTTTATTTGCTAACATTATTGACAGAGAGAGACAGGATGTTCACGCAGAAAAGCAGAACTTCCAAATACCAAAAAACCCTACAATGCCTCTTTAGGTGCATGAAGAATGCACTTCATTTAAAAATCTTGTCTTAGCCTATCCCAACCATGCAGTTGGCTCAATAAAAGATACTACAAAAATCCTTGCCTCTTGCTATGTCCTGGACCATCAGGACTTACAACATCATTCCAATGCTACCAATGTAACTTTAGGCCCACAGCAGCACCACTAGCAGCAAGCCTCTGCAGCCACAACCACTTCTTTACAGATTTTGCTGAAACTGACAATTCAATTATATAATATATAATGAAATACACAATCTGTAGTTATTGGTAAAAGCATACAATAAGATTATCCATTCTACAGGTTTAAACAAAATTAAAACAAAACATAATATACTGATAATACAAAACCCAGCACAGAATATAAAACAGTAAAAAGCCATAAAGTAAAAACAAGGGAATTCTATTTAATTTTGGCTCTTCATCTTTGTGTAAGTAACACAAATATACGTGGGGAGTTTCAAATAGGCTGTAAGGGTGCCTGTATACAACGTGGGACAACATTACTGCCTTAAGAAATGTCACCAGAAATATTTTTCAGGAGGAAAATCATGAAAGAGCAATTAAAAAACTGCTTGCACCATCACCTGCCCTTCTTCTTGCCATTCACTTTTGAAAAGTTATATTATCAGCTATAATTGCCACGCTGTTAGAATACTTTTGGGGGTACTCCCACTGCCATTCTTTATAGTGCATTATAAAAGCACTATTAATTATCAAGTATACATTGGAATTATAAACGCCTCATCTTACACATTTATAAGAATATAATCTTTAAAAAAGGCATCTTAAAATTCCACAGTAAAACTGCAAGGATGTCAACAAAGCTTCAGGAAACACAAAATCCCTGATGTCAGAGTAACAGACAATGAAATGCGTCAAAGATGTCATGCTTCTCTGACACATCTACAACTGTCCTCTACCTGGATACAGTCTTTCCCTGTCCCCAATAAGGTATTTTCAATGTTTTTACTGGGGACTTTACTTTTACAATAAAGTCTAGTGGAGTGTACCAAACTGGGATTTATAAAGGTTCTAATTTTGTCATTGGTCTGGGTCACGTTGGGGACATCTCTTCACCTTCTGTGCCTCAGTGTTCTCATCTTTAAAATTGGGACAACAATATTAGCCACCTTTTAAAATATTTCAGAGTTTACTCATGAAAGGAGCTAGGTACCTTACTATTTATTACAGCCTTTTTATCCAAATAAAGTGATTTAAGTACATCCTAGACTGAAGAAAAGAACCTGCAAGAAAAGACGCTTGTTTTTCTAAAAATGAGTGCTCCATATTTATTTGGTATCAAACAATTTCTTTGAACAAGTTATTTTTCTGAAAAAATCTGTATTTAAAATTACACACACATCCCTGATGCACTGACAAGCAGGGGTGTGTAAATATATCAGTTGGATATCTGATTTCCATTGGTAAAAGGGAAATGACATTATTGGCCATCAGCTTTTTTTGGCCATTATAGTCTATAATGTTTACTGATAATTATGGCTTCTGGCCAGAGTCCCAAATGCCTGGGTTCCCTCTCACCTGCAGGGCCAGGGACCCCAGATGCCTAGGTTCCCTCCACGAGCTAATGTGACCTGGGGCACGGAGGGCCCAAGCCATTCTCCATCCCCACCATCATCCCCGTACCAGCGGGCTGGACTGGAGCAGAGCAGAGCAGCTGGTGCAGTGTCCCAGATGCTGGTGTGGCACAGACTGCAGGCTGGGGAGGGTGTTGAAAAAAGGTGGCGAGTGTGGAGACTTGACTGGTGCAGGGCATGGGCCAAGGCTGCCCAACCCGGCCCAGAGCGACAGCCTGCAGTGCCCAGTGGTCCATGCCCCAGGGACAGGACCTGGCTGGGGCTGTGGCAGCTACTCCCCCACGCTGTGCTGGCTTCAGCTTAGCTGGCTCCTGCCCTTCCCAGGGCCAGGACTGGGTCCACTCAGTCTCCCCCATGGGGTATGGCAGGGTTTGCCCTGCCCCTGGCAGCAGCAGCAACACCAGCACCAGGAAGGGAAGGGGCCCTTTCCCCAGCTGGAGTTCAGCTCCTGGGGCCTGACTGCGAGAGAGATGGTCTGGTTTCTCCACGCCTGGAATGGTCCTGTGGCCCTGCCATGAGCACAACGAGGACAGCAAGGAGCCTGGCCCAGAGACCACCCAGACCTGGGCAGCCAGGAAGGCTCAAAATCTTCCCCTTCAGCTCTGCTCTGGGCAGGCTCAGGCAGCTGTTCTTGGGCTGGGGTTCAAGGGCATCACACAGAAGAGCAGGGGCTGAAGGGCTCTGCACAGCAATTTGCAGGCACTGCTAGGCCAGTCCCCCCTGCTGCAACTGGCATGGGCCCTGGGCACTTTTACATGTACTCGGGGGGAGAGGGGGAGTGCATGCCTTAGGGGGGCTCTGACAGCCACTCTAATTAAAGTGAAGCAAAATCTTATGCATCAGCATCCCCATGGTTAAAAATGGCAGCTGGGGTACTTCAACGGAAGCTCATTTGACAAGCTTTAGTTTAAGCAACCCCAGTGCCATTTTTAAGTGTGGGGACACTGATGCACAAGATGCAGGAGGCTGCTGAAGTATGCCAAAAAAGGTTTATTTATGTCAGTAGTTTAAAATGCCTTGCATGATTACTAAATATCGTTCATCAGATCGGCACCGGTCGATATGGTTGGTTAATCGTCGGCTCTTGGTATCAGCCAAGAAAACCTTTAATCGGTGCACCTGTACTGACCAGCATATGGATTCTCAACAAATGCTTTAAAAATACACGACAGTGATGCTTAAATAGGTTTAATATTGACCAAACCAGAAACATGTATGTTGATAATATAAGCCTGTATCTCTGATGTCAGTAGGCATAGTAAAACATAGTAAAAATTATTCCAAAGATGATTAAGTTTAAGAGGTCACATGGATTTCAGAAGTCCAAAATTTAAAGCATGAAGAAATCTTTACACTATCTTGTTAAAATATAAAAGGCATTACTTGAAGGTCAGCTGTATTTGAAGGGGAAAGATTATTACAATAACAGTTGTATGCACAGATGTGGCCCCTTTTCTGATTTTATTGTAAAAAATGTAAACACATTAGAGCAGTCCGCAGGCAAGAAGGAAGCAAGAAAATAAGAGAACAGGAGAAGTACATGTCTTCTTAGTAACATATTTAATATTAATAATGTTATTCTGATTAAGATTTAAATGAAAGAGAACAAGAATTGTTTGAAAGATTGGGGTTAAATATAGTTTTGAATCTAACCTTGACAACAGATAATACCCCTATTATAACAAAAACTAAAAAATGCCACAACCGCTCTACTTTCAAAAATTGAAGAGCTGGCTATATGTGTATAAATCTCAAAAGACTGAGTCTCTTATAACAGCCACTTTTAATACCACACTGATGTGCTTATTAGTTATCTATTCAGGTTGAAGCCTCCCATTTAATCATAAAAAATTGCTTCCTAGGAGTAGCTTGATTTGCTACAAACTTCTCACCCTAGTGCCCATCAGGTCATTCTTTGTTTCTACTGTAGAATGAGAAGGTGTAGCAAACTTTTTTTAATAAGCTTATAAATCATTTGGCATAGGCTGAAAGGGAAAGAAACCCTTACCAAAAAGAAAGTCACAGAATAAGGGTGTGTGTAAAAATCACTGACGCAATATTAAGTAAAACAATGCATACTACAATGTGTTATAAGTTCAGAAGATAACTAATATCCATTCTTATCGTTTGAGAGGACCTCTGAAATAATAAAAAGCTCTTAAACCTGAAAAGAATGAGCATATTTAGGCCACAGACAGAAGCTACATTTGTAGTACTGTAAATGCCTTTGAAGTGGACAGATATGAACACCCCTGCACAGCTTAAAAATGGCAGCAGTACAGAAATATTGTTGGACGTAACAGCAACGTCTCTGAAATACTACATATAACATCTGTACGGTGCAGGGTACTGCAAAAGGGTCTCACTCCCCAGCTTTCCAGAGTGCTCTGCTCCTCTCCTCCCCACCCATCCTCCGACCCATCCACCTTGGACTAGATCAGGGTGAGCAAAATGGCAGGTCCAGCCATTCCATTTCGCAACAGCCCCTGCCCATGTCACTGCAGCCAGTTTCCATGGAAACTCCAGCAGCAGCAGGGCTGTGACAGTGCAGGGCCAGGGTTTCCATGGAGACCAGTCCCAGTAGTGCTGGCAGGGTGCACAGCTGGGCAGGGAGCTGCTCTGGGGCTAGGGCTAGGTTCTTGCAGTGGTGACAGCAGGATCCAGACCTGGGGCAGAGCCATGATCCACTGCCTGTTCGTCCCTACCCAGATCACAGCCCCAGCTCTGGACAATACTGTCACCGTTAACAGCCCATGGTCACCACAAACTACAAAATAGCTTGAAATTTATTGTGTAAAAACTAAAAAAAGGCAGTGACATGCCACTGAAATAATTCTCTACAAGATTTGGGTTCCCAGATGAACTGCAAATAAATCAAGAAAGAAACCATTAAAAATGCAGGCATACCACAAAATACCAGCACAATGATGTACATCTTGTTTTCAATTTTTTTCCTCGTTATTTTTGGATTTGTATGAATCTTGGAACCAGTCTATACTATACCTTTTGATGGTTTACAGAACCAGAGTCAATGAGTGGATCAAATGTACCCCCAACACAACCTTTTATATTCACATATGACCTACTGAACCATGCAAGCTTCTTACATGGAGTGTCTGAAGAATTATATGATCCAGATAATTAGGACTAAATAGGAATTTTACAATCCAAAACTGAAAAAGTTGCACCTTTGAACAGGAAAATATTTGAAGACATCCTCTGATAAAATGAAAAAAGATAATGTCAAACTATATGTGGAAAAACAATGGACATAGTTCTAGAATCTTAAGAGAAAGACAGGTATGAGACCTCACCTACATGAACCTTGGGAAGGATCCTATACTTTACTGACACAACGACATGAAATTGGGTGTACCATACAGTAGTCTCAGGAGATTTCTATATAGATGTTCCAAGATAGCAGATATTTGTTTGTTAGAAATGTTAGATATTTGTTATATTTGTTAGATATTTGTTGAAGAAATGGGTACTGCTGTGCTGAGAGATGACATTTTTGTCATGAAGCAGGTCCTGGTTCTGTCCCTGATACAGGTAATGTCAACAGGCAAACTAACGCTTTGCCTTCCATATCTGATCAAGATCACCACTTAACAATTAACCCCTTACAACAAGGCAGCTGGAGAAGATGTAAAGGCTGCTGTCCAGAGAAACTGATTGCATTGCAAAGTTTTAATGTCAGGACTGTGGTTGTTGGCAGGGGTTCTCTGAGATTAGCTGCAAACCACAGAAGTTAAAGGTCTGCTTGGTATGCTGCCTACATAGGAAAACAGCATGAGAAGCAATTGCAATAATTTCTCTGAAGGGGACAGATACAGTTTCCAAAATATCAAGTCCAGTGCTCCTGTTTCTACTGTATTCAAGGAAACAGGGTTGTGTATACATTCTTTGTAAATAAACAGGATTTGATTAAAGAAATACCCAACTCACATCATCAGTTCATTCTCTTAACAGAAGTGACAGGACAAAACTCAAAGAGAGGCTAATTGCTTGGGCCAAAAGGATAGTAATATAAATTAGTCATCATCCGTAGAAAAATAATATTTTAAAACAAAAACAAAATTAGTAACAAATTAAATTGAAATTAAAGTGATCTAAATAGAAAGACAGCAAGATAAATACAAAGTATGAGCTTTTGCACATAACCAGTTTCATGACTTGGCCAAAAAACCAGAACAGAAACATGAATTTAACTTTATGGAAGTACTAAAGTTTGTTTTCTCTCCCTAAAGTATTACATTTTTGCTCTCATTAAGGAACTTGGAGTCCAACAACATTTACATGATTAGATTTTCTTTTTAAAGCTACTTTGGCCTGTGCAGAGTACATGTGTAACCAATATATGAATAATTGGATTTTGGAGATCAAGCGATTATTTGTTCAACAGCCTATTAAAAATAACCTAAACATATCCTTCATTTAAGGCCTTGCCAAAGAAAAAACAAAAAAATACCTTTTGCTCGTTCAGTAGATCTGTAATGGTCTGAGACATTTCATCCAAACTCTGGGCTGCTTTCACCAGGTTATGTAGTGCACGTACATGCTGGTGAAGAGGTTCAAAGTCACAAAGTATAGGAACCCTTCAAAGACAGAATGAGTTCTAAAATTAAATTCAATATGTCAGTATCAAATATTCAACTGAAAATGTACACAGTGAAAAATCTAATCCTGATTGAATTAGTCGTGTTGTCATTTTCTAAAATTTCACCTGTTTTGCTATAACATGAAAACAACTTTGTAACTAATATTCTATATTAGTACTTCTTATTTCAGTGACTCTGGAGTACTTTAGAATATTAAAAAATAAATTTAGATCTTAAGTTCTGTTTTTAAAGACACATTAGGTTAAGTGCACACTATAGAACACTTCTCAGCCTCCTATCCTTCCATGACTGCAACTCTAGGTTCTACTGATGACATCATTGTAAGAAGTGATTCATACTATAACTGAAGTAGATTCATTTTTAAAACAGCTGAGAAATGAATTATAAAAATAAAGTTATTTATTTTACACTATAGAAGTTAACAGACCAAAAACTGATAATACATCAATCCATAAACATATGTTCCAAAGTTTTACAACAGCAAGCACCATTATCTTTCAAATCTTAAGAGTTGAATTCTTCAGCCTTAAATAAGAAGAGTACAAAAGATTTGCCGAGATAATGGTGCAAGTACACTGAGCTAACACTTCTCTCAATCAAAATTCATTTTAATATCAAACAAATCTTATAAGATTATGAAAAAGCAAGGTTTTAATCCCTTTCATAAATTCTGAAAGAGATTTAAGGCAAACTATGTTCCAAGTTAGTGTGAATGTGAGGTAGATCCATTAATATCAGTAGGAACTTGTGGCATGAAGAAAAGAAAAAAAAAGACTACTATAATCTAATGTATTTTCCCAAGTTGACAGAATATGCATTTTGAATTCTTATTTTGAAAGACACAGGTAAGAAGAATACTGCAGGTTTATTTAAGAGACCCTCTTTCGTGTCTGCATAGTTTCATAGTTACTAGGGTCGGAAGGGACCTGAGCAGATCA